CAATTCCCCAATAAAAATCTTTAAAAAAAAAAAAAAGTGAGTTGGTGCTAATAGGTCATTTAAAAAAAAAAAAAAAGAATGACAAATATAACTGCGGAAGAAGCAAGAATGCCTATTGACGGCCATACATGGCCAATACTTTCACTACAGCCAGATTTATAAGGACAGCCACATCACAATCAGAAGGTTCCTGGGAATACAATGAATCAGAATTAAGGAAGTAAGAGGAATTGAATATTTAATGGTCTTATTTCATTCTGTCAATAATTGGTTTTTTAATTAAGCAACTAGAACGTCTAGGCACTCTTCTAGGTTCTAGGATATAAAGATCTCTGCTTTCAGAGAGCTCATATCTAAGTAACAGCTGAAGAGTATTTCATAGGAGTTTACTGTAATATTATAAGAGCAACAATTTTGGAAGCAATCTAAATGTTCATCAAATACATTGGTGATTAAACAATGATAAATCCAAATAATGAAAAAATATACAGCTCTTTAAGAATAGTATTTTTAAGCAGTATTTCATGATGGAAAAATTACTATGACACAATGTTAAATGAAAAAAGCAAGCTATAATGTGTATATAGTGTATACATACTCATATATGCATGCATTTCCTATCTCTTTATATGCATATGATTAAGACCAGAAAGTTAAGTGACCAAAGTACTGTTAATTATTATCTTTTTTTCCTTTATATATTTTTTTGAATTTTCAGCATTACATGCCATTTATCACCAAGGGGGGGAAATTTTTTAAAGTAGTTTCAATCAATGTAAATACTAGGGACTCTCCAGATTTCTGTATTAGAAGGTATCCGTCAATGCCAGTCCCTGAACCTCTGTCTTTGAAATCAGAGCGAGCTCATCCTTCCCGAGGCCTTCAGGTGCTAGTCTACAAGGATAAGGAACACACCTGAGGAACGCGCCGTGTTTTCATCCAACCTGCAGTCTCCTGTTTCTAGCTGTCTGCTGAACATTTCAACTTAAACGCCTTACAGATAACTCATATTTAATTATGTCCAAAAATAAATGGATAATTTTTTCCCCACAGCCAATCTTCTAGTAACTCCATTACTGTTCATGACAATAATCTTTCTCCCAATCAGAAAGCTTGGAAAGCAGCCTGAATTCATCTCTCCTTTCCCCGTTTCAAGTTCATTAATAACGCTGTCAAAGTCTCTCTTCCATCCCGCCTTACTCTTCTTTCTCACTTCATCGCCTTATCAGTCCAGGCCCTGATTGCACTGTCAGTAATGTTACTATACTTGCATGCGAGTGGAGCCATTCTCTCCCTTCTCTACACCACTGCTCCTTTTATAGATCTTGGATGATGTCATTCTTTGGCTTAAAAACTTTTAAGGCCTTTTCCTTTCTACCGCTTCAATCTAAACTTCTATGGCTGGCTTTTATTAAACCCCATAATTTGGCTCCACCCTAACTTCTTTATTTCCCATTATTTGACAGTCTCCTCCCTCATCAGCCAACAGACATGCCATAATCAACCTTACCACCAAACTTTGGAATATATAAACTTAAACATGGTCCTCCCTTTCCTTTCTACTTGTATTTAGAGAACCTGATGAATTTTCCTCTTCTGCAAAGCTTTTCTTAATTTCTTCAACCTCATTTAGGTTTCACTTTTCAGAATTTGTCTAGCACGTATTCCGAATCTTAGAATTAGGCATTTGATTCCACACTCTCATGTTGGTGGATTTACTGTTATACGAGTATGTGTTAGTAATCTACTAAATTTCATACTCCTTGAGGACAAGAGCCACACCTTATTCTGTCGCCTACAGTATTTAGCATGATGCAGAGCACATAGACAGTGCTCAATATCTGTTGACTGATCCTGCAAGAAATGATCAATTTCAGCCCCAGCCTCTCTTTAATATGTAGTGATCTGGGCAGATCAAGCATGATCCTAAGGGATATAAACAAGCAACTCTTTAAGCATGGAGTCCCTTTAGGTATAATACTATAGTGATGACAGGACATCTCTATGTCCCATACTAGGAAAAACAAAGTTCTAGGGAATGATAATTGAGGTTCTCTAAGTGTCTTCCAATGGGGAATCTCAAATACCTTCTAACCTCCATGAGAACAGGCACTAGATCTTTTGAAAGAGTGCTTTGACTGGAATGAATGTCAAAGAAAATTGCATAATAAAACAAAAAATCTGGGTAGAATCCTGTTCATTTATAAGATCATATTGTGTAAATCACCAAATCCCACTGAGCCTCAGTTTAATTCAAGAGGTGCCATGCTGCTATTGGTTAAGAGATGGCAAATGCCAATGGATAAGAAATAATTTTCATATGCATAATAGTAGTACCAGTATTTATGAAGTTCTTTAGAGTTTTCAAAGTGCTTTCTACAAACATTATCTTATATTATCTGACCTTCCCTAAATACAGGGTGAAATGGACACAAAGTGTCATTTAAAACAGAGTTCTTAAAACAAATACTTTGCTTATTCTGAATCTATTTTAAATACACTACCCATATCATTCTAAAACTAAGAACTATTTCAGAAACTGACTACTTAATAATTTTATGAGTTTTCTTTTGAGGAAAATATAATGTTTTAGAATGCTTAACCTATCAATACCTAGCAAAATTTCTATGCTTTCTACCTTTTAAAGGGGTATTTTAATTTACTTATTTTGTATTGAATCAATTAAAACATATATGAAATTCACCAAATATAAATTGTAAAAACTAGTTTTCAACATTTCTATTTTCTAAAGCTGAAATTTTACTTTAAATTTAAAGACAATTTATATTCAATTTCAATGTGTAATTTCAATGTGGACTGGGTTCTCAAAAAAGGCATTATTACTGTCTGGGTGCTAACGCCAAAACACAAGTTTTTAAAGTGTCCTGTGGTTTTGTCTAGAAATTGGATAGTGTTAAAAAATGGTATAAATGGGGGTACAGGGAAATCTGATTCATACCTTAGCATATAGGTATCTGTAACAGACTCTTGGCTGATGAGCAAGTGTGCCCTGCAAAAACTAAGAAATGAACATGTTCACACAGACAGCTGCTGCTGCTACTTCTGCTACTGCTAATAAGAAGTGCCAGAATGTATAGGACTTGTAGAAACTATAAGGACCTTGTGAGACAGCATAGGTACTTGGGCCCGGGTCTGAAGGAATGCCGGAGAAGTGGACCACAAGAATGCCACCACCCCATCACTCCCTACACAAAAGTGCAGA